TTCCATGTGAATACTTACCAAATGGTGGCCTCAGCAGAGGAAGATTTTAATAATCAAGTGGATAGGATGAAATGTTCTGTGGATGCCAGTAGGCGTCTCTCCCCAGCCACCCCTACCATCACCCCATGAACTCATGAACAAAATGGCCGTGGTGGCATGGTTGGAGGTTATACATGGGCTCAGCAACAGATTTCCACTCACTTTCTATGGCTGACCTGGCTACAGCCACCACTGAGTGCCCAGTCTTTCAGCAGCAAAGACCAACACTGAGCCTCTGATATGGCACCATTCCCTGAGGTGATCAACCAGCTGCCTGGTGGCAGGTTGACTACATTGGACCTCTTCCATCATGAAAGGGGCAGCAATTTGTTCTTACTAGACTAGACACTTACTCTGGGTACAGATTTGCCTTTACTGAATGTATTGCTTCTGCCAAAACTACCAACCATGAACTTAACAGAATGCTTTATCCACCGTTGTGGTATTCCATACAGAATTGCTTCTGATTGAGCAATTCACTTCATAGCAAATGAAGTGCAGCTTTGGCCCCTGCTCATGGAATTCACAGGTCTTATCATGTTTCCCAGCATCCTGAAGCAGCTCGCTTGATAGAATGGTCAAGGCCTTTTGAAGACTCAGTTACACTGCCAGTTAGATGGCAATATCTTGCAGGGCTGGGACAAAGTTCTCCATAAATCTGTATTAGTGTTCAGTATATGGTACTGTTTCTCTCATAGCCAGGATTCATGGGTCTAGGGATCAAGAAGTGGAAATGGGGGTAGCACACTACCACTGGTTATTACCTCTAGTGACCAACTAGCAAAATTTTTGCTTCCTGTTCCCATGACCTTATGCTCTACTGGCCTAGAGCTCTTAGTTCCAAAGGGAGAAATGCATCCACCAAGAGACACAATAATGATTCCATTAAACTGGAAGTTAAGACTACCACCCAGCCACTTTGGGTTCTTATGCCTCTGAATCAACAAGCAAAGAAGGGATTACTATGCTGACTGTAGTGATTGATCCTGGCTACCAAGGGGAAATCAGATTACTACTCCACAATGGTGGCAAGGAAGACTGTATCTGGAATACAGGAGATCCCTTAAGGTGTCTCTTAGTATTACCATGCCTTGAGATTAAGGTCAGTTGAAAACTACAGCAACCCAATCCAGGCATGATTACTAATGGCCCAGACCCTTCAGGAATTAAGGTTTGGGTCACTCTACCAAGTAAAGAACCACGACCAACTGAGATGCTTGCTGAAGGCAAAGGGAATATGACATGGCTAGTGGAAGAAGGTAGTTATAAATACCAGCTGTGACCGTGTGACCAGTTACAGATGAGGATTGTAATTGTCAAGAGTAGTGTATATCTTTTCCTTATTTTGTTATCAATATGTTTTGTGTATGTATACATCTTTGTTTTCTTTCTTCTCTTATTTCCTTATCATGTAACATAAGATGTGTTGACTTTATATCATAGTTTAAGTATTATTAATTTTATATCATAGTATTTGAGTTACAGGATATCAAGGAGAAGAGTAAACATCGCTCGAGGAGTTTATGTCCTCTTCTGGGAAAGAGATTAGTACATTCTTGATTGTATCCAGGATGGTTGTATCATGTTAGGTAGAATTATGACCTTGTTGTTGTCTTTATTTGGAGATTAAGTATGGTTTTAAGAGATGTGTAATGGGTGCCAAGTTGACAAGGGTTGAACTTGTGATGGTTAATTTGATGTCTTAACTTGACTGGGCATCAGAGTACCCGGACATTTGGTCAAACATTATTCTGATACATCTGTGAGGATGTTTCTGGATGAAATTACTATTTGAATTGTTAGAATGAGTAAAGCAGATTGGCTTTCCTAGCTTCGAGTGGGGCCCAGTTTAAGTCCTCAGTAGAACAAAAAGGCTAACCCTCCTGGGAGTGAGAGGGAATTACTCCTGCCTGACTTCCTTTGATCTGGTATATCACTTCTTTCCTGCCTTGGGACTTGAACTGAAACATCAGCTCTTTCAGCGTCTTGAGCCTGCTGGTGTTTAGACAGGAGCTATACCATCAGCTCTCCTGGGTTTATAGCTTGCTGACTGTAGATCTTGGAATTTGTCAGCCTCCATAACTGCATGAGCAAATTCCTTATAATAAATCTCTTTGTATGTATCTGTCTGTTCTATATATTCTCTATACCTCTCTATCTCTCATTTATATATGTTTGTTTCTATATATAATAGGAGATATATGTCTCTCCTATTGGTTCTGTTTCTTGGGAGAACCCTAAGTATACAGTATCCAATTCTGAGGTATTCTGTAATAGCTGAGAATATTGCTTTTAGTAGTACTTTTGAATATCTATCTTAGTCAGTTTGGACTACTATAACACAATACCATAGTGGGTAACTTATAAACAACAGAAATTTATTTCTCACAGTTCTGGAGGCCGAAAGTCCGAGATCAGGGTTCCAGTATGGTGGAATTCTGGTGAGGACCCTCTTCTAGGTTGTAGACATAGCCTCACAGAGAGGGCAAGGAAGCTCTGTGGGGTCTCTTTTATGATAGCGCTAATCCCACTCAGGAGGGTTCCACTGTCATAACTTAATCACCTCCCAAAGGTCCTACCTCCTAATACCAGAACCCTGGGAGTTATGATTTCAACATTTGAATCTGGGGAGGATGTAAACACTCAGTCCATAGCAATGTCCTTTTCTAGTATAAATAACTTAGTCAAAATATAGTTATAGTATCTTTAGCGCTTAGCATAATCCTTGCAATATTTAGGTCCTGAATAATTATTTGTTAAATTGAATTAACCTGAAATAGAGTTTACAAAATTACTATAATAGATTGGTTTGATATATAAATTTTGAGGGCATTATGGTTATTATGAACATGGTCCCAAGCTTCTCTATAGTTTACTGAATTTCTAAATATTTTCTTGTGGCTTTGTAAATTTGGTTGTTTTATACCCCTTTTTGATTTGTTGAGTAGATAGTTGAGATTTTTCTGTCATATGGCAAACTATTCCTTCTCTTGTCACTCCCCTTCCATAATTGATAGCCATTTGCCAGTCAAATATATTTTTTAATGTCTTAATATTTTAATTTTCCACTAATTGCCCATTTACTTTCTCACTGGTAAAGTCTTAAAACATAACCAATTATTCAAATCTCTAACTGCTTTAGTAACTCTGGGCAGGAAAGCATGTGGTAGTGGTTGTCGACGAAAATAATCCATATCCAATCTATAAATGAAAATTTGGGTGAGTTTATTCTGAGCTTAAATCTGAGGATTATAACCCCGGAGAGTCTTTCCACAAAGGAACAGAGCAGTCCAAAGAAGTGGGGGTATAAGGGTGGTTATATACCCTCAAAGAGGATGTTTCACATAGGATTGAAATGTCCCTTTTACAATAGTCGCGAGACTGCTCTGTCGGCACAGCGATTGATGGAAATAGCAGGTAGATCTTCTGTCTCTGTGAACACAGCAGGGTGGCAGTCTGTTGTCTCCAGCTGGGTGGTCACAGGTGAGCTGGGAGGTGAGTGCAGCAATCAGTACCTAGCCTAAGGAAAAATGCTTATCCCTAAGGAAATGCTAATGTGGGGGGAAGTTGCACCTTTATCTCAAGGGCCTTTGTTCTGGCCATAGGAAATGTCTAAGCAGATATGCAATGCGTGCTCAATAGCCACAGTCAGGCCCTTTTGAAAAAATAAAAAGTCAGGCCGAATTAGGTTTATACCAAATGGCTTCCTCATATACTCCAATATATCCTATTGCTTGCCATTTTTATTTGTCATGGTCATAAGTCACTTGAACCACCTGCGTCAAAATCACCTACAGTACTTAGGGAGAATACAGTTTCCTGGGGCCCCACATTAAAGCCACTGATTGAGAATTTGGGGAGATAAGCACCAAGAATTTGTATCTTTTTTTTTTTTGAGGAAGATTAGCCCTGAGCTAACTGCTGCCAATCCTCCTCTTTTTGCTGAGGAAGACTGGCCCTAAGCTAACATCCATGCCCATCTTCCTCCACTTTATATGTGGGACGCCTACCACAGCATGGCATGCCAAGCGGTGCCATGTCTGCACCCAGGATCTGAACCAGAGAACCCCAGGCTGCCGAAACGGAATGTGCACACTTAACCGCTGTGTGACCGGGCCAGCCCCCAAGAATTTGTATCTTTGACAAGCTCCCCAGGGGATTACCAGAGTTTGAGAATCATTGACGTATGCAGTGTTTCCAATATTTTTTTCCCCTAGAAGTACCTAACCCAAACACAGTGCAAATGTAAACACTAAAAATCTTTGCAATTTCAAATACCTAATACATTGATTCCACTTTTCAAAAACTGCTTATATGGGGCTGGCCCCGTGGCCGAGTGGTTACGTTCGCGCGCTCCGCTGCAGGCGGCCCAGTGTTTCGTTGGTTCGAATCCTGGGCGCGGACATGGCATTGCTCGTCAGACCACGCTGAGGCAGCGTCCCACATACCACAACTAGAAGAACCCACAACGAGAAATATACAACTATGTACTGGGGGGCTTTGGGGAGAAAAAGGAAAAAATAAAATCTTTAAAAAAAAAAAACTGCTTATATGGAGGGAAGCTACTTTAGAGTAAAGTTTTTCAAAAGTTGAGGGAAGTATTATGATTTTGTTTGTGGATTACTTCTGTAATAAATGTTTACCTCAGTTAATAGCTTTATTTCTGGTAAACGTCATCTTTCCAATATCTTCAGAGTTTTTTAGGATTTAATTTTTGGATTTATTCTCTTTCCAATAATGTAACATACATGTGTATGTATAACCATGTTTCCTTCATTGAATATAAATTCTCAAAACGTTTAAAAATGAATTGACCTTGTTAGGCTCACAATTATCAGTTTCACTCCTACATTTTTGCCAAGCTACTTGGAAAACTAAACTAAACTTTTATGTTTAAATCGTTAAAATAGAATTATCTAGTTTATTTAAAAAGTACTAATATTCATTATTATATATTCTAGGCATTTACACTGTTTGCTACACATTTCCTGGAACTATGCCATATAGATGTCCTGTATCCTAATGTAGAAAACATGCATTTTGAAGTTCAACATGTAAAGAACACCTCAAGAAACAAAGAAGCAATCTTGTATACTTACAAACTTTCTAAGGGACTCACAGAAGAAAAAAATTATGGTATTGCATATAAAAATTATATCTATACACTGAAGCACACGCATTCTCATAAGATAAACTTTGTATTCCCCTTTACTTGGCTGTTAATCTAAGCAGTTTTCCCTCTCATTCTTTTGAGTGCTTATGTGCTGTAGGACTATATTTTCTATGTCAAACTCACATTTTATATATACTAAGCTTATTTTTAAATTTATATTAACCAGTAACTGTGTAGGCTTACGTAGACTTAGAACACATGAAAGCCCTGGAAGTGTTCATTTCTGTCTTAGAAAAGTGTAATTTAGTTTGTATTTGCAAATTATATAATGAATTAAAAATTGTGTATTTCTTACACCGTCTTTCAGTAACAGGGTCCTTGCTTGTTTTCTTCAGCTTCAGGGAATTTGATAATTAAATTTAAAGTCTTAAAATGGAATGTACTACGAAACCATATGTTATTCCTAAACTTGATTAGATATTTTCTACCTAAATCATTATGTGACGTGTAAAGTCTCTTGGATTCAGATATTTTTCAATTGACCTATACATGTAAAGTTCCAAAAATTATTTTAGCCATGTATGTGACCCTTGTGAGAGAAAAAAAAAGTATCTTTGTTTTACTATTTGAAATGGGAAGTCAGATGGATAACTTAATTTGTATCAGATATTTAATCTTTATAAGCCTCAATTTCGTCTATTAAATGGGGATAATTAGCCATATATGTGGGCTTGTGAAGATTAAGTGAATTAACAAATACAAACTGTCTAGCATAGTGCCTAGCAATTAGCGTCACGTAAATAAAAGTCAGTCTTGATTCCATTCCCTCTAAAGCAATAAATACAATAAACTGTCAGCACAGTATAAACAGTAGAAAGCCTATATGGCATTTATACAATAAATTAAACTCTGAAAGCATAAGAATACTAGTTGGTACTTTAAATTTGCATGAATTTGAATTTGAATTCATTATATCTTCTGAGAAATTCCTCCCTCATTGATCTGCTAAATAGATGAATATTTAGCTGTCAGATTATCTCTGTAACTAAACTTTTCCCCTGCAGAACCCACTTATCCTTTGACTTTCTATAACCAACTGTATATATAGTTGGAATTTCAATATTATTACTATTATTCAATTTTCTAATTACCTCTTTTCCTTTCCCTATCATGTTTTCCTGCTGAGAGGTTTCTTGAGGTCATTGATATTCTAATTTGTCTTATATGTCTTGGACAGGTAATTAAATCTAATAATTGGTAGATTGTCATCCAGAACTTTGGAAAACTTAATTTTGGGTATCATTAAGTAGTTCAGAAATGCCTGAGAAGGGAAGTTTAAATCTGTGAAGACAAGATGAATACTGCCTAAGACAAACATGACTATACCAGCAATAATGATATTGAAGCCCCATTATTGTAATTTTAGGGTTAAAAGCTGCAGAGGTGTCATCACTCCCACCATCAATTGTCTTGGATGCCAAAGAAATCACAACTCAAATTACCAGACAAATCTTGGTAAGAAAGTTTTGGCAATAAGAATTGCTTTTCAAATTCCCGAAAATACTTTTAGTGTACATGTTTATTATGACCTTGGATCTAAATATATAATAATTAATAATAATTAAAATATTTGAAATAAAAACCTAATTCCTAAATAAGGAAGATCCTTTTTACTTCTCAATACTTTTTTGGTTTGGTCTGTTATAACCTTTCCCAGCAAATCAACTAATAAGATAGAAGACAAAGGTTAAACAGTTTAGTTCCTAGAATACTTATTCCTACACTAACTTTATGATAAGGAAATAAATGTATATAAAGTAAGCATTAAAAATAGATAATCACGATGTACATTTTCATATCTTTTTATAGTTTTCAAAGCTCTTCTATTTATTCTAATATATAAGCCTCATACTTCATAAAGCAGTTAGATTTTTCTACTAAAAGATAACATAGGTATTATTTTTACTTACATTTTTACAGCTGAGGTTCACAGAGGTTAAGAGATTTGCTAAAAAGCAGTAGATCCAATACTGAATTCACATCTGTTGACTCAAAATTTGGAAATCTTTTTTTATTTTTTTACATCAGTTTTTATATTGTTTTAAGAATCCAGTGTGTTCAGTAAACTAAGCCAGGTGCAGTATGAAAGGTTCTTTAGTGGTAACAGTGTCCTATGTCTTTCATTCTTTCTTAACCTGCCTTCATATTTTATTGCATTTCTTCAGCTTTTGAGCTCCTAGACTGTCTTTATGACGTCACTTGCCTAATTACCCCCCTTGAATCCCTTCGTCAGTGATTTTGGCAGTGCTCTTCTGAAGAACTTCTCATTACCTAGTTCTTCAGAGCCAGTCTTCCTCACAAAAAAACCAAACAAAAACACTTCTGTTCTTCCTGAGCCCTCAATCCCCTCACTCTCTATAGAAATTTCACCTCTTTTACTTTTTGAGACACTTGAGGTCATCTTGATGAGTCCTTGAACCTTTCCTCCTTCAAAGTTCTACTTTGGAATTTGTATTTTCTCTTCCCTCCTATCTCAGAGGAAGAGATTACCTTTCAATCTATTTAAGGTTAAATTTTCTACTTTCTTTCCATCCTCCATTAAGATATTACTTCGTCAGTTTCCTTTCTTCTCTTTGCATCCTTAGTGTTTTTTTCACTGGCTTTTCTTTTTTAATGAATATGCTTAGGTTTTTCCCAAGAAATCCTTCTTTTTTACCTTACTTCTCAAACTATTTCTCTTCTTTCTACTGCCAGTTTCTCAAAAGTAATCTATACTTGCTTCTTCCATTTCCCATGTGCAAACTGGATCTTGTCACTTTACTGAAACTTCACTCTTAAATACCAGCTAATCATAAAAGCGTATGGCCTTTCCTTCACTTCTCATCTTCCCTAGTCTCTCTTGATATTTGACACTACCCTTCTTTCCCTTTTCATAATTCTTCCCCCTCTTGGTTACTGTAACTGTCCTCTCCTAGGTGTTTTCTCCTCTTTCTTTGATTACTCCTTCTTTCCTTTCTTCACCGGTGCTTGTTATCATCCCAGTTACAAAATAGAAGTGTTCCTATGATTTTGCCCTCGTTTCTTTGTTTAGAACTCTATACTCCTCACCTTTACTTTTCATTTCTTTTTGACTCTGAATCTATATATTTTTCTCCATAAACCATAGGGGTTCTTGAAACCCTAATTTATGTTTTCACTCTTCAGTAGGTCCAAAATTAAATTTATCTTCTGAAAAATCTTCTCATCTCTTCGCTTTCTAATCTCCCAGTGACCCATTAGAGTCTATGAATCCTTCTTCTTGATCACCCCTCATTAGGACTCTGCAGTAGGTTCTCTTTTCAATCCATCCTACATACTTCTATGAGATTATCTCCTAAAACATAGCTCTTATCATGTTGTTTCCCTGCTCAGAAACTTTTAGTTGTTTCTTACCAAATAAGAGTCGAACACCTTCGCTTAGTGTTAAAAGTCTTCTATGATTATTTCTCAAAATGCAATCTTAGGATTACCTACATTAGAATCACCTGGAATACTGAGTACCATTGCAGATTTTTAAGGGTGTCCTGTGGCTTAGGAATTGACATTTTAACCAGTCTTCAGATGATTCTTAAACACACTGTTAACTACTTTATGATCTCCCTTTGTTTACTACCCCAACCTTACATAATGTTACTCAATTTAATAATAACCTACATTTTTGCCACATTGAAATTACTTGTCATTTCATCATTTTAACCTTGATTGTGTACCATGCTTTCTAATGTGTCTGCTCTAGCTGTTTCCTCCATCTGGAATGCCCTCGATCAAGATTCATTCCAAGTACTCTGTCCTATTTAAGCTTTTCTTGACCTGATCTGAAAGTGAGCTTTCCTTCCTCTAAGCATTTTATGTTTCTCTTATGAGACTTTTCATAATTACCTTTATCACTTACTTATAAACATGTCTTTTGTACTGTAAGACTCAACTTCTTGAGTTCCATTATCATGTTAGGTAGACATTTTTATATCCTCCATAGAAATAAACTCCTCCATACAAAACGTATGTGGCCTGGTAAAATATAGGTGATAATAGATATTCAGTAGCTTTTTTTTAAAATGATAAACTGATATAATTGATCAAGCAATATATCAGATAGCTGGGTGAATATATGATAATCTTATTCTACGTCATGGAATCATATTCATTTTTTCTATAATGAAAGTAGAAAAGTATCTGGAATTGCTTGCTGTTGAGAAAGAGTTGAAGGGATTATATTTCCCTTAGTGAAGGAAAACTCACTAAGACTTTCCATAAACAATTAAGTTTGAAAATGCTGATTCTCCTATCTAGCTCAGGCAGAGATGAATAAAAAATTTTCCAGCTATACTCCCAACACTTAAGTACTGTTCAGAGACTGAATATCTAAAAGCTTTCCAAAGTATTAGAAGATTCTCGTTTTAAACATTATTTCTTGGATATCCTAAGTATAGTTTGTTAAGAATTGAGGCATAATTTCAAGTAGCTATTTATGTTGCTTATTTTACAAATGTATTTTACCTCTCAGACAGTATTCTCTCTTAGGCTTTAGCAATTTCTATATGTGAACTCTCTTGAGAGACAAGCAGTTTACTGATGACCATTCTGCCTGCCAGTTTATCTGTTGGGGAATTAAAGTAGGAGACAGTAGAGTAGTACTCTTGGGTGACATTTTAAATTATGAATACCCCACAGCAATGAGAAGTTCTGTTTTCCCATACCTTTTTAATGAGACAGTGTTTCTAGCACATAACTCTGGTGGATTTTCTATTACTTTTTAGTATTGTGTTGAGAAATTTGACATATTTAGCACATTGCAGATTTTTTCATTGAAGAGTGATTTTCAAGGAATATAAGGTTTTGTCATAAAGCAGTAAATACTCATGATAAATTTTATTCTCCAAAATAATATTTATTTCTTCTGGTATATTCTTTGCTAGTTGGATGGAACTGACTTATCCAAAGGGATTGGTTAACCCTTGAATTCTTATTTCTATGAAAGGAGATAGAATATTGCTGAAAATTTAAAATAAAAATCATTGTATTCATATTTTAATCTTTATCTATGTTTTTTCAATAACAGCAAAACCAAAAGAGTACCCCTGAGATGGAAAGACAGAGAGCTGTGTACCATCTAGCTACTAGGCTTGTTCAAACTGCTCGAAACTCTCAATTGGATGCAGACAGTTTACGAACATATTTAAGTAATCTCAAAAAGAAGTATGAAGCAGATTTTCCCAAGAGTGAACAAGTTTCAGGAGAGACTGAACAATAATAACAATTCACATCTTGTACTAATGAAATAATATATCTTAATATGAGGAAACTAGAATTCATTTTTCCCAAAGGCAAAAGAAAATAAAATTTGCTAAATTTTATATTTTAATTGAAAATTACATTATGTTAACCTCAGAGTTATCATCTATATATTCTATGTAAGAAAATATTTGTTGTTATAACTTAAATGAGATCTATTTAAAGGACTGATTTTTATGTTAGGAAAAAGTCTAATGTGACACATTTCTCATTTATGAAAATTGATTTTATTACGTTTTAAGTTTATATATACTTAAAAGGTATGGTTTAAAATGTTATTGTAAATACTTTAGTTAAAAAAACCTTTCCTTTTAGGCCTGGGAACTTATGTGAGTTTTTCTTTATATTCTATTCTGAAGCAATAATACCCTATGAGTCAGTTTCTTAATTAGTACCCTCAAACTCCAACATAGGATGCTTCTGCAGTTCATTAGAATGATATTAGGAATTTTAAAGTTTTTTAATGCCATTCAGTATAGTCCTAACGCATGAAAAGAAACAACTAGACATTTTGTAATGCACAGAGTACTTCTGAAAGGGGCGTCACCATCACCGATCCTTTCAGTTTTCCAAAGAGCCAGGCATTCAGTTTTCTGCTCACCAACCTCTCCTTTCCAAGTTCTCATTTTTGGCCATCTTTTTGAGGTGGTAACCAAGGCAGCAGAAAGGTAATATTGATTTGTTTGCCTCCGTTGTTAGTTCACAAGGGAGCATTTTATAGAACCGTTTTTCCGTCGACGTGTGGCTTACACCACCATTTCAGAGTTTACCCAAAGGTCATTCTTGTTTCATAAGTGGACAAAAGAAAATGGAAGACCATCAGTTGTTCAGTAACTGTAAAAAGCTGTCGTCTTCTCAAACACCTTATTTCTAAAATTCCATCACAGTACATGACTTATTCATATAATTTCAGACCAAAGACCTAAGATAGGAAAGTTATTCTTTTCTTGGAGCACTAAGTATCTGGAACTCAGGGTATGTATTCAATAAGCCACAGTATTCATAGAAACTTAGCCAAAAGAAATTATTCACAGACTGGTTAGGGCCCTTTTTTGGGTAATATATGCATATTTTATTTTACAAAATTTAATATTAATACTTTTGACTTTATTAAACTCAGCATTCTAAATACATGTTAGTAGCCAGATATATTGGAAAAAGTTATAATTTGAATGACATCCTTTTTTGGAAAAGTAAATGTAGACTAGTATTAGTATTTACATTTGATATATATTAAATGTTCTTTTAGACTACTTATATTCCCTATGTCATGTTTTAGAAAGAGAGTACCACAGTATTTGAATTTGACCATTTTCCATGTTTTAATTCACAGCCTTTGAAATGAATTATATTTTATGTGGTCATTTCCAAAAGCAGTTAGATTATTTAGGCTTGCAGCAAATTTCTAGAAGGCACTTAGGAGAAGAGGGCATGGCATATTGTTTGGGAGGGCAGGAAAGAAAAGGGAGGAAGCAATAAAAAGCAGAAGGGGAGCAGGCAGTAGAAGAAAAACGGGCAAGCAGAGACAGGTGCAAAGTATTAAATATGCCGAGTATCATTTCCTCAAATGTATTAACTTCCTTTTAGATTTAACCCCCAGTATTAGATTCCATCAGACTTTTAAGAAATTTTTTTTATCATTTAGAGCTTTTGATGCAAAAACTGCAGCCAACTGATTAATCCCTTTTATTTTAGATTTGGAATACTGAAATAAAAATAGGTTTATCTCTTCTTAAAATTAAATTACTTTTTCTTCAATCATTTCATGTGTAGCAGAAACATACAAAAAAGCAAATCAGATGAAGATATAATTATTGTGTCATGGTACTGTATAATAGAGGTGAATACTAGAGAGACAATCCATTCTTTAATTTTAAGGTCTATTTGCTCTTCTCTTCACTACCTCTTCGCCTTTGCCTTTCTCTAAAATTATAGACCATTATCTCATAATCCAGCCTTTTAAGGTAAATGTCCATAATGTTTTAGCAAACTCCTTTTATTTCCACCTCAAAGCCATTCTCTTAGTCTGTTTCGCTTTTCTCCTCACGTAAAGTAGTCTTTTTTTGATCTAGGGGTAAGATATGCGGCAGTAGAGGAAAAGGGCAGCTTATCCTCATGCCTAGGGAAGTAATGTATTTGTTTATTTTTAAATTTACATACAGTAAAATTAACTCTTTGTTGGTGTACAGTTTTATGAGTTTTAGCACATTTATGGATTCATAGAACCACTACCACAATCAGGATACAGAATAGTTCCATCACCCCCAGATGATTCCCTTAGTACTGTCCCTTTGTAGTTAAATCCTCTGACCCCTAACTTTAACCCAGCAATCACTGGGAATGATTAAGTATTCCTCCCCTGTTGTTTTTTTCAGAATGTCCAACAAATGGAATCATATAGCATGTAAGCTTTTGAGACTGGTTTCTTTTACTCAGAAAAGTGCATTTTAGAATTTATCCATGTTATTGTGCCTTTTTGCTGTTGACTAGTTTTCCATTGTTTATATGTACCACCATTTATCCATTCACACAGTCAAGGACATTGGGTTTCCAGTTTTTGGCAGTTATGAATAAAGCTGTTATGAATATTTGTGTGTAGATTTTTGTGTGAGTGTTAAGTTTTAATTTATCTAGGTCAAAAAGTAGTGAAATGGCTACATTATATTATAAATGTATGTGTAACTTCATAAGAAGCTACCAGTCTTTTTCTAGAGTGGCTATACTGTTTTGCATTCCCATCAGCCATGTATGAGAGTTCCAGTTGTCCCATATGTTCTGTAGCACTTGGTATTGTCAGTTTTTTAAAAAAAATTTTAGCCATTCTAATAGGTATTAGTGAGTAATGCATTTTTAAAATTTTAAATTTCAGCTATTCTGATAAAGCAGTGATTTTTTTTTTCCTTTTGTTCTAAATTATTTTTTAGCTGCTTTTTTAGCTTAACTTCTCTCGTAGCATATTTTTAAATCTTTCCCTTGAAGCAAAAGCTTTAGAATAGGTCTCACCCTTTTTTTTTTTTTTAAAGATTGGCACCTGAGCTAACATCTGTTGCCAATCTTCTCGCTCTCTTTTTTTTTTCTTCTTCTCCCCAAAGTCCCCAGTACATAGTTGTATATTCTAGTTGTAGATCCTTCTGGTTGTGCTATGTGGGATGCTGCCTCAGCATGGCTTGATGAGTGGTGCCATGTCTGTGCCCAGGATCCAAACTGGCAAAACCCTGAGCCACCAAAGCAGAGTATGCGAACTTAACCAGTAGGCCATGGGGCTGGCCCCAGAATAGATCTCACTCTTTAAAAACTACACAAAAAAATCAAATTCAGTAATATTTACAACAGACAACATGGAACAGGCAACATACTAGGTGCTAGGAGTACAAAAGATGTCACCTTGAGGCATACCTTTCAGGTGTAGTAAAGAAGAAAACACATATTTTAGGGTTGGAACACCATGTGATAAGTACTATAATAGAGGAATATATTAAGAAGGATAGTGACACAAAAAAATGTACAATTCCTTGTGGGTCAAGGGAGTTTAGAGGATAGTAAAATATGTCAAGTGTTCAGGAAGGGAAGAATATTTTATATAGAAGGATCAGCATGTGTAAAAGCAAAGAGATGTGAAACAGTAAGCACTTTGGTTTAGCTGGAGGATAGAGTGCATACGAGAGTGGTAAAGAGATAAAGCTAGGTGTTTTGTACCAATTTCTCCTGTAGACCACTGAAGAGTTTTAAGGTGTGTTTGTTGTTAGAGGGTGGTGGTGGTAGTGGAGGGATAATGTGATTAGATTTTCATTTTGGAAAGATCATCTGGGTGGTTTCATGAATGGTTTGGGATGGGTGGTTGAAACCAGAGTCAAGGAAACCAGATAGCTTAAGAGACTATTTCAGTAGTGCAGTAGAGAGTTGATGATAAAAGGTAGGAACAATGAGAAGGCAACAGATGTGTGTGTGTGTGTGTGTGTGAGGAGAGGAGGAGAATGGAGAGGGTGGAATGGCTGGTAGGGGAGAGAAGACATTGATTTGAAAGATACTAAGGAGATTAGTGACTGATTTAACCAGATTTAGTGACTTATCCAATTTTTTAGTGAGGGAAGGTGTTATGGGTTGAATTGTGTCCCCCTCAAAAAGATATGTGAAGTCCTAACCCCCTGCACCTCAGAGTGTGACCTTATCTGGAAATAGGACAATTTCAAATGCAATTAGTTAAGATGAGGTCATATGGGAGCAGGGTGGGCCCCTAATCCAATATGGCTGGTGTCCTTATAAGAAGCTTGCCATATGAAGACATGAACACACAGAGAGAACACCATGTGAAGACAGAGGTTTGGAGTGATACATCTTCAAGTCAAGGAATGCCAAAGATTGCTGGAAAACCACCAGAAGCAAGAAAGAGGCGAGGGAGGATTCCCCTATAGGTTTCAGAGGGAGCATTGCTCTGCTGACACCTTAATTTTGGACTTCTAGGCTCCAGAACTGAGACAATACGTTTGTACTGTTTTAAGCCACCCAACTTGTATTACTTTTTTATGGCAGCCCTAGCAAACCAATACAGAAGGGAAGAGTTAAACATGATTCTAGGGAGTGATGCCATCAACCATTTTGAGAAATATGGAAGCAGTAAGAATTTCAGTAGGAAGAAGTTCCAGAAATTTAGATGCTGCTTGTTGACCACTCTCTAGCTTGGGAATGAGCCATGTGTAATAAAAGTGATGACTAGACTAAATTCATTAAGCTCTCTTCTATTTGAAGATGTAAGAAGTGGAAGGAAGAAAAGGATGGAAATTAGAGAATAGATGTAAAAAGATTTGCTGAAATATTTTACCAGACAAATCATCTGAATCTGTGATCTAGTGTTTCTTTATAAAAGCTAGAGTAAGGGTAGTTTTTTTTTACTTTCTTCATATTAACACATATTTTCAACCAAAGCATATAACTATCTTATGTGCTACTGTAAAAAAAATATTAAAATGTTAATATATTGCTTGTAGTATGAACTTCCTGTATACTTATTCATAAGCCTAAAATATGCTCAATTATAATTAAATGTAGTTTAATTAAGTGTTTATAAACATTTCTATAATTCAATCCTATAATGCGTTTGTACCTCATGGGATTGAAAGTAGAAGGAAGAAAAGCAAGTGATCTAGTTATATTACTACTTTGCTATTTCCATTCTGTTTTTTTAGATACTTAAATCACACAGTTGTTTATCTTAATATAGGACCAGAATGAATACCCTTTTCATATGAATTGTCAAAGTTTTGATAGTCTCCAGATGGCAATTGTGAAACAGTTGAACAGAGACAGTGAAAATGGCTTCTATCTGCTGTAATCTACTAAAATGGATCCTAAAATACAGTGATGAGCTGGGAAACAGATTCTCATTGTCAGGAACTGGGAAAGGTCTGAGATGTTTCCCTTACTTGCAAACTAGTAGTTTAGCTTGCCACAGTTTCATGTTTGCTATCATAAGACAAAAGACTCCTGGGTCAGAAACAAAGAACTTTATGACTAATGGCACAGCATGCAGCATGAGCTTCATGTTTATGTTGGTTCCACATACCCACTTCCTCTAAGACACTAAATGGTCCAGGTGGATGTGCACACAGTGGATTTGTGTTACAGTTGAGGAGCTCCAAGCTTGGGAAACTCCAATCTTTTATAATGAGCTTCAAGCAAATCTGCCAGACCTTTTCCCCAGAGGAGGACATTACCTTTATTATGGTAGACATTGAGCAAAGCTTTCCTCTACTCAGATGGAGACATGCTGTCTTCCAAGGCTGCTCACTGTACATACATCCTTAAAAAGATACTCTGGAATAAGGTAGTCAGTGCCTCTTCTCGTAAGACAGACAGAAACATGAGAGACCCATAGAGAATTGTCTCCCAGTTATCATTTTTGTGTTGCAACAGTTTCACCGTATGCTTATAAACTCTAGTACCCCAGATATTCAAAAAGAAAAGAGCTAAAAAATTGTCATAGAATAAATTTTATGTTTTGAAAGGTAAATTTCTTTGTAACTAAAGAACATACAGATTTAACTGATAATATTTTCATTGTGATGTAATTTTGCATCACAATTGTTCTTTCTTTGTATCAAAATGCATGTAATTTGAGGGTGGGCAAAATGAGTGAAGGAGGACAAAAGGTACAAACTTCCAGTTGTAAAATGAATAAGTCCTGGGGATGTAATGTACAGCATGGTGACTGCAGTTAATAATACTGTATTTTGTATTTGAAAGTTGCTAAGAGAGTAAAAAAGTTTTCATTACAAGAAAAAAAATTTGTACCTGTCTATGGTGATGGATGTTAAATAGACTTATTGTAGTGATCATTTCACTATATATATATATATATATATGTATATATGTATACATAGAATTGTTATACACCTGAAACAAATGTAATGTTATATGTCAATTATATCTTAGTTAAATTTACTACTGGGCTAGTATTTAGAGGTATGACATACCAAACACCAAAGCTCCATATTGTGATTTAAGGCTAATTATTGCCAATATAATCCATTTCTGACATCCTATTCCCAACCCCCACCCTTTTGTTGACTAATTCTTCACCTTGTATTTTTGGTGACTATGGCTGCTACGGAATTGTAAATTGTTCTCAAGGAATGGATCACATCTTAATTTCCTTGATTTTTCTCTACTACCAAGCACAATATTTTATTTGCAAACAAACTCAATAAATATTTGTTAATATGGATATACAATATAAAATAATATTTACCTAGCTTAGAATGTACTAATAATAAGGGGTCAGAGTTCAGAACATTAATATGACCAAAATTTTCACAATAACAAGAATGCTCTCAGACAAAAACAGCTATTAAGAACAGATAAAAAGGGTAAATCTAAAATATAAACAGGCGCGTATGATTTGTTCTACTGTTTAGAAAGGTAGTGGGCAGAGCCGTATGTTGATTTGAAAGTGATTCATTTAGGATGTCATGTGAAAATATATTTCAATGCAGTAAAATTTGCATGAAGTTAATAGTTTATTAACTTGTAAACTACCCAATGGTGAGCATCCTTAAAGAATTCAGGAAAAAGACGCATATTAGCTTTCTAAATTCAGATAGTTCTGTAGACGAACAGGAATTAGAAGTGAAAATATTCCATTTGGGAGCATATTGTTGGTCAATAGTTGAGCCCTGATGGTTATTCTGCAAAGATGTAATAGTTCACATGGATCTTTGTATCTTGTTGATGGAATGTAGTCCAACCAATTCGAAATAATTGGACATCTTCCTAAACTTAGCTGCGTCTGAAGAAAAGGGAAATATTTTAATTTGGTAATATTAATCATTAGATTAGTCCAAATTAGCATTTTTGCTTTATATTTAAATTCAGAAAATAGATCTTAAATTTATATAACCCTTATATTTTTTTCCAAAGCATTTTCACCTGAGGCAAGTATTTTTATTCCCATTTTATTCTCACAATGATCCATAAAGTTTAAATATGTCTAAAGACACAAAACTTTATTTCTTACAACTATGAATCTGTATGTTTTTAATTTTAGACAAATCAAACACTGATTTTTTTAGCTTCTCCTTCTAGAGTGCTGTTG